GCCCACCCCTTTTAAGAATTGAAGTTCAAGATTGTGTGACCCATCCCCTGTTTTTACCCCCTCCCTCTACTTTATGATCAGCTCCTTACCTCAAAGGCATGTGGTTTGACATGGGTTACAGCTGAATCATAAGCCCATTTTCCTGACGACTGTTTCTTTGGAGTGTTTTCTTTACTGGATTCTTCCTCGACTGTGTCCTGAGTAGGTGCAGCTAAAGCTCCCTTTTCATTGACAACCATGGCATTATCATCATCCTTATCATCATCATTACAGTTTTCATCATCATCACTGTCTAATTCAACTTTTTGGCTTGCATTCCTGCTTTGTGCTAAAGAAATTCTGTTAAACCTGTTGGACAGGTCATCTGCTTGTTCTCGTAAGGCAATTTGCTCTTTGAGTTTTCCCACTAGCTTATGTATCTTATCGCCTTTGTCTGGAAGAGAGTTGATAAACGTCCTAAAAAGTGACAAAAATAGTAAGAAGGTGTTGGAAATCACCCAGGAGATAACAAGACATGGCCTCATATTGTTTAATATTTAACATTTAGATTTAAGGTTCAATTAATAAGATACAAGATAATATATAATTTTGAAAGAGGCCAAAGTGAAAACCTAGCTCACCTCTTACAGCGAGCAGTCTCGATTTAGGTCTTTAAACATGGTAACCATGTCAGTTTCCCAAAATGGGGTACAAGATTGAGTAAATAGTGGGGGGGGGGGGGGGGGGGGGGGGAGGGAGACTACTATTAAAGAGCTAACATTAAATACATGTAGTTTGAAGAACTTAAGTTATAGCTAGATACTAGTCATGTAAAAATTATGATAGTACTCTTACCTATTGAGAAGCAGCTTCTCCTGCCTTTGCAACATCTCAACCAGTTCAGCCTTACTCAACTTGGTAATGTCTTTCTTTTCCGACATCGTTCTCGACCATCGATAGTGAAGACCAGAAAGTCACGAGATGATCATTCACACATTAAAAAATGTCCATCAAATTGAATTTTGACATCACTAGATCAAACGTCCATTTAAATCGTTTCAGGGAATGAGAATCCACTCGAATTTTTAACAGAGGTATCTCGGTTTCATGTGAGTACAATCTTGAAACGTTTCCATATGATCGAGAAAAGTAATCTCCTATAAAAACTTAGTAATATCAGGAAGTTTCATTGTTTCCTTTCGGTTTCGTCCGCCATTTTGTAAATAGTAACCAGGCCTTATTTTCATAAACAGTTGAGTTTGAACTTTACAGAAAACATAGAGAAGAATTGAGAGAAAAAACCTGGAAAAAAACTAACGTTGAAAACTCCCTTCATAAAACGATCATGCAAAACAAATGCTATTGTAAGCAAATACTTGACTTCTTTAGATGAAGTTTAGTTACAAAATGAAACATATTGTTATGAATATTAGCTTTGATTTGAGCCTACTTGGCTAAACTTTGTCATGAAGTTTGAAGTTCTCTTCATCTTTTTACTGAAAATATTTGGATTTACAGCTCGTCTTGTTAAACCTGGTAAGTACAGACAAAAACACGGTAAAAGTTGATAGATAAGCTTTATTATTTTTCACAGACAAGTTGTTAAAATCTGTGATTTATTTTTTCAGAGACAAGCAGTCTTCGTAAGTTTCTTCACGCCACCAGCAATATAACGTACTTTGAACCAGTAAACTACGATAAAGACAGGATTCTAAAACAACACAAAGCAACGATTCAAAATCCTGCAAACGATGTTGTTATCATAGAACTGAACGCTTTCAAAAGGTGACCATTTCAAAGTTTTAATTTCCTGTTTTGTTGTTACTTGTTTACTGTTTACACATGTACAGGTAGTCCGAAGGTGTTAAACGTTAAACGTTAAACCTCCTTGAAATCTTTTATTTTATAGGCATTTTTCATTGATTCTGAGGCAAGATACCAACCTATTTTCACAAGGTCCTAAAGTGAAGATAAAATCTAAGAATGAATATACGAACATTAAATTTCAATTTAATGAATATTATACAGGAAAAGTTTCAGGTACGTAAGATAGCACAAGTCAACAAGTCCAGCTTTTATGTCCACCATAGCCACTCTTAGAAATCGTACCATATGTCTTTCCCCTGCACACCCACCAACATCATGATCCACATTCATGACACACACCCCGATACAAACAGGACTAACCCTAACCCCAATCCCATAAGAGTCAATCTTGGAACGAAGCTTTATCCAAGGGTTGAGCCTTGCTTCAATACTGATAAATCAAATTTATGATCAGTATATTTTCAAGCTCTTTGTGTCCAGCTAATTTTTTCACACAAATCCCTAAAAAATATTAGATTTTTTATCTAATACCATTTCTCCTATAGTCATCATTTACATTGAATGAAACTCCACTTCCTTAATAATATCGAAATTATGCACTTTTTATTTGGTCACACTACTGCTCGTTTTAAGATTGTAAAGTCACGTGACATGTTAGATTGTCTTTTATTTGTGTAGGAGATCAAAACTCATCTGTTACTGGCCGAATACGTACTGACGGCACCTTCGATGGGTGTTTTTATACTGCGGGTACCCTGTTCCATTTAGAACCTGCATCAAAATATTTCTCCCATYCACTTCTCTTCCATTCACTCGTGTATCAGTCCCGTGATGTGGAATTTAATACATCAGTGAGAATAGCAGCTAAGAAAGTCCACCATTCCTATCGAAAACTTCATCAACTGCCTAAAACTATGCAATTCCAGGTATTTGTTTACTATTTCAAATCAGCTTTCTTAATAAGTTTGTCGTTCAGGGACCGCGCATTACATGTAATAATCGGAGGGAATATGGGTAAGAAAATTAAAAAAAACATTTTTCTCCAATCCTCCATTCCAGTTAGTATGGCCATTTTTTTCAGGACCACCTGTCGTTATTTCCACCGACCACACTTCAGGGTCACTTTTCAAGGCCACTCGTTTTCTAACCCATACTCCTCCCTTCAATAAATAATAAATAATCCTCTCTCTAAGGGGTCGTGGGTCAGACCCACATAACACCAGATACTATAACAGCCTGTTTTTCGATTGACGTGGCTCTATCATGTGTATTTTTGATTTTTCTCAAGAAGACGACTTCCCGTGGGATGGTTGGTAGGTTAGGATAGATTCTCTGGTAGCAAGATACGAGCACGAAAGTTGTTCAAAGCATTGAACGCCACGTAAAATTTGCAAATTTTTTTCATTCCAGACTTCTTACCGTCGAACACGTGCAGCACGATTATCTGACAACAGTACTGACCTAAACACATGTACACTGCACATTGCCGCTGACCATCGCTTTTATAATCAAGTGGGCAAAGGCTCAGTCGATGAGACTATTGCAGAAATGGTCTTTCACATCGCGGGCTCGGATAAGATTTTCCGTTCAACAGATTTCAATGGTGATGGTGGACCGGGCGATAATATTGGGTTCACGATAACAGCCATTACTTTGTTTCAAGATGTTGAGGCCGAAGGTATTTGAATATATTTATTTTATTTACTGGTCTTAAGTAGCAGATTGGTGAAAAGACTCATGTCTTTATCTGTTTATTAACCCTAATAAAGAATTATTATTTACAATTGTTATTGGTTTTGAAATTTTTTGGGTGGGATTACTAATTGGAAGCAGCCACGATTTAGGACATTTTAATTAGTGCAAATATTTCCCCATGCCAGACCACGTGTCATTGTCTTGAGAATAAGATTCTTTGTTTGCTTAGTTGTATCCATATTCTTGATGTGTCTTCTCGTGCGCAACCGTTAGATAAAGAAATAATACTCTTGGGAATGACACATGGTGTGAAATGCAAAAAAATATGAGTTCTATTTACTATACAACAACACAAGCTGTGCCAGGATTTTCAAACTGGTCAACAATATTATCAGTGAAATTTCCTTTCTACGACGGCTTTTTATTGCTAATCTAGAATTGATGACTTATTGGTCTCCTCAGGTATTCTCGCCAAACCATCATCTACATTCATTAACTTTCTGTCCAAATGGAGCACATTCAACCACGACCAGTACTGTCTTGCCATTTTATTCACCTACCAGAAGTTCCCCAAAGGCACCTTGGGCCTTGCTTGGGTAGGTGCAACTGATATTGGTGGTATATGCTCCAAGAGGGTCCTGCTAGAAGATTCGCAGTTAGGAGAGTTGAACTTCAACACTGCTGTTGTGACTTTTCGGAACGATGCCAGAATACCCCGCAAAGCCACTTTGATTACTGTTGCACACGAGCTTGGGCACAGTTTTGGCTCCGAGGTAAAGAGCTCTCTAATTGGTCAAAGAATTAGGAAATTTGCATGATGGCGTCCCACTACCATAATGCTTCGCGAATTTTCTTTCTTATTTAAATTATATTCCCTTATGAGAAAAGTAAGACTATTGTCGCTAATTAACTGAACAAAAGTGTGCAAGGTAGTCTGGTAGTAGAGGTGAATGACACCTGATCATGCAAACGTCCTATTACAACACGATTTCATGGCTGCCGCTTGAGAAAGGGTCATTAGGATGGGGGCTTTTGTCTGTCGCCTGGAATGCTTAGTTATTACTATTCGCACCAGTCCCTTACAGAGCAAATATAAATAATATCGCTCCCAGATCCACCGCGCGCAGTTTCGTATGAACTCGTTGTGGCAATTGCAGTATTGACGGCTTTCCATTCCTTTAGCCAGCTTACCCTCTCGCGCTCGCCTTCTCCGACTAGCAGCTGTGTTCAGTCTTTTTCTTCCTCCCTGCTCCCTCCATCACCATCATAGATTTATTTTCTGCTCTCTTGGTTGATCACGGTTGCATTTATCCCATTCTTATTTAACGAGCGCGAAAAGGAATGATGTGGATAGGATACTAAATATCAAAACCAAACATACCATGGTATTATTTCTCATTACTTTTAAAGCATGATCCAAATACAAAGAGATGTTCACCAAATGAAAATGGCGGCAACTATATAATGTACGAATTCTCTACCGGTGGAAGAGAGCCCAACAATTATCTATTCTCTAAGTGTAGCAAGTCTCAAATATGGCCGATTATCTTCAACAAGGGACCGCGTTGTTTTATTGGTAAGTCAATTGAACAGGACTAAAAACGAATCAGCGATGTATGTAGCAGGGGCTTCTTYTTATCGTTTGGATATTTCTTAGCCTAGTAGTAGTGCGAGGGGGTTTACTTCAAGCGATTCTTACTGCTAAACAAAAAGGAAGAGCAAGTTTGAAAATTGCACAATCGTTTTGGGTGCTATAATTTTGGAAGCGTAACATGGACCACAGGCTACTGTGTCCTCGCATTACTGACTCATATGTAACATATATTGTTACTCTCAACCTGGTACTCTCGATACGGTACCCACGACTCCCGACTTGGTACTCTCTGACTGTCAACCCTCGACAAATTAAAACACCAGACTCGACTAAAGATCATCTTATTTTAACTTTGATATTCCTGCATTAGYTAACAACCATGGTGTCTACTGCGGCAATAAAATCGTCGAGGAAGGAGAAGAATGTGACTGCGGTACGCCACAAGAATGTCATCTGATAGATAAGTGCTGTGAGCCCAGAAACCGATCCCTAGGGATTCCAGGCTGTAGATTCAAGAATGGCTACCAATGCAGGTATGGCTGTCTTAAAGACTATATTTGATGCAAGGAGGGAGGGATCCAGATTGTCTAGAAAATTCAGTAACGGGTCGGAGACTCGTAGGGGAGGGGAGAGTAGGGAGGGAAAGGGAGGGAAGGGAGGGGGACAAAGTATGAAAGGAGAAAGTCTTGCCCTACCTTATTCCTCTATTGCTAATAAAGATCTTTAAAATTTGCCTGACGAAGAGGGGGCGGGACCACACCTTGGTCTATAACGTGATACGAACGCGAAAAAGGCCGAATAGGAACGTGCATCGGACGCGCAACAAAATTAAATCCAGCGTGTGATAATGAAAGGTGACTTTTTAGAGAAATCCAGTACCGCTCGAAAGCTGGATTTTCATTGCGCCCTAAGCACAGTACCGCTTTTGTAAGGTTAGGTTTAGTGCTATTGTTTGGATAACCAATCTTTTTTTTTTTAATCCAATCATGTAAATCGTTCCGAGCGGTATGGGCTGGCTCACTTTTTACTCTTCCGCTGGCCAAATTTAGGACTCTTTAGGTCTTAATCAATGCAGTGTACGTTGTTATATGAAAAGCTGCTACGTTAGTGTGACATTTCCCAAAACTTCTGTCGCCGCAACATCGCAACACTTGCACCATTTGTTGGAAGAAAAAACGAATCGTAATTTTTCTTTTTATTTTAGTCCAAAGAAAGGCCCGTGCTGTACCCAAGACTGTATGCATGTCACCACACCAAATACGATCTGTAAACATGAGACGCAATGCACTTATGAAGCGTATTGCAAATATCCTTTTGAACTTGATAACTTGAAATTTCAATACACGTCGTAGAGTAACTACTATCGGGGGATTGTCTCAAGGATCGGGTTCAGGAGGGGGAAGGAGACTGAAAGTAGCATGGATTGTAGGCCCTGTCCTGCTCAGGAATAGTTTTGTGCCATATAAAAAAAATTAAATTTGGCCCAAGGCAAGAAAAGTATGTTTTGTAGGTGTGAAAAGACCCAAGGAACGACCAATCACAGCACGCGATATTAATTTTCATCCATTTAAAATGCTAAAAGCCTTAACATTTCACAGCAGATACAATGCCACGTGCCCATCGGCTTTGTCTAAACCATCGAACACTACTTGTAATGATGGCAGTAATACTTGTGTGGATGGTGAATGTATTGGGTCGATATGTACGATGTATGGACTGCAAGAGTGTCAGTGTTCTTCACATCATCTTATGTGTCATGTCTGCTGCAATGATACAAAGGTAAATACTTTACAGGAAATAACGGTTTCTTTGTCTACTAATGCGCTCCCTCTCACAGTTGAGTTTAATCGTGGGCTCGATTCTTGGACCCGGCCCGCGATATTAATAATAATAATTATGACATCATCATCATCATCACAATAATAAAAATAAAAATATTAAGCAGGGTAGGTGAGGGTATGTTACGGTACGGTATGGTGTGGTGTGGTAAATGTATGGTATACACCTATTTCAGAAATCGTTGTCGCACCAAAAACCTCAAGCAACAAGACAAGACCGCAGAGAATGCCGGTACTTTTAGCTGTAATTAGTTTATTCATGGTGCATTTTCATTTATTGACTTCACAAATTGCTCCAAGCAAGGCTGCTTCAGATGGAGAGCTATAGCCGCTTGCATGAACCATGAATAAATCAATTATAATTAAAAGTACCGACGTTCTCTGGAACCTTGGCTTGTTACTTGAGGCTCTTGGTGCGACAACGATTTTCGAAATAGGTTATAGTATAATATGATATAGTCTGGTATGGTATGATTTAGCATGGTATGGCATTAAAGAGTATGCGAATATCGAATCTGGTTTATTTAATCAATCTAGGATGGGTGTATCTCTGCGAGTACTATAGTGGGTCGTCAAACGGTCCAGCGGCCAGCAGGAAGCACATGTAACCAGGATACTGGATACTGTGATCAACAAGGGTACTGTATTACCGTCAATACAGACAGTCAGTTACGGGTACTCAAGGACGCGTTTGATAGAACGACGTCTAAGGCTTCTGTCAATAACGCTCTTCTCTGGCTTGGAGAGAACTGGTGAGAACAACCTGTCTAGTTAATATTAGTCTAAGTGATTAACAATTGCATGATTCGGCTTGGATGTTACCTAGAAAAGGCATCACAGAACATTACCTCATCCTTTATTCTTATTATTTTTCGACTCCAAAAAGTGGTCAACTCTAAATAGTAATCCATCCCCCTGATCCGCCCTTGGTACTTCTCAATCTCGTAACGAATTAAGTGTCAGAAAGACCTGATTTAAACGTGTCGGCGCCAGCGCGTTTTTTATATTTGACGCGCTCCTTCAACTTTTGTCATTTGTAATAACATTCGTAGAGTAATTGGAAAAATCGCTTGCGCCAGTTGCCTATGTTCATACAAGAGCGCGGCAGCAATAGTCCTCCTCAAGACATTATGCGTCACTGATTTGTAGCATAATTTAAGAAATCGCTTGCGCCAATAAATCTGAAAATACTTACATTAGAGGGTGGCGCGATATTGATAAGGAGGCATGCTTATGGTTTACATCAATTCAAATTTGCGCTATTTTATTTTTTGAAGGTACTACATAGTGGCACTGACTTTTGGCGCGTGTGTCGTGGCGATCTGGCTGAAGTTCAATAATCCCCTGGAGAGAATATTGAGACGATTCGCCATACATCCTTACCATCATAATATATCAAACCCTACCCATGCCACTGTCAATCAATGCCTTCCACAGGAAGAGTACGAGAGTGACCAGATTGCTTCTACAGCTGTTTAACTTTACACCAGAGAGTCCTATATATGGACTTTGCAAATCTTTGCGTCCGCATTCTTTCTTATCCGTCAGTATATAGAAAAGCCAGGGGCGTGACTTCGGGGTGTACTAATGGTGCGTGTGTCTGTTTGGAAGGGAGGGTATGGAGGGATGATTTGTTGAGGTAAGTGGGAGTGAGCCCCCTCTCTCAAGAGAAATCGTGAAACGGCACATGAACTTTTTTGCATACCCGGTAGTCAGACTGTAGGAGATCTTTACTCAACCAATTAAAAACCTCGATAACGGGCAACGTCACGACCGTGAGTACCATACGAAATTGATTTAACTATGATTTACCGTATATATGGTCCTCTTTACCTTCAGTGTTATGTCAATCTTCCCATTTGAGACCACTTCACATTCACTAGAATATCATTTTGTTATTTAACGGTTGACCATGAGAAGGCACATGAATATAAATACAATTCAAACAAAAATTCCTATTCTCAAGGGAATGATACATGGTCAGAAATGGAAAAAAATTATGTCCACGGCAAAGAGGTCTATTATGCTAGTACAGCAAATTGGCTCCTCTTGAATAATTTAAAGACTCATTTCTTTTATTGAATAAATATGTGAATGGACTACTAAAAAACAGTATTTTTACCAGTTTTTATAGTAATTCAGCTGTTCTATAGTCAGAGATGGTTTCACAGTAGCAAGAGCTTTGGTGAAATGTTTCTGTTCTATGTTACTTGCCGTCATGCCATTTTCTTCCAGTGCAAACAGCGCGGCCTGGAAAACAAATAGTGAGGAATATTGGTAATCAGGTTTAATTTTCCGATTTAAAAAATATATAGAGGTTTGTATTACACTAAATACATTTTAAATCACAGTTTTCGGGACCATGCAACAAGCTGTCCGTTGAATAAAAGGATGTCCCCGTAATAAGGGGTACGCTTAATAGAGGTATCAAAATTTAAATAATAATAATGATGATGATGATGATGGTTATGATGATGATGATGATGATGATGATAATGACCATGATGATGATGGTTATGATGATGGTTATGATGATGATGATGATGATGGTGATGATGGTTATGATGATGATGTTGAAAATAATAATTAATGAAAGTATCATTTCACTTACCTCCCTTAAAAGATTTTCCAAGTCCGCTCCAGAAAACATTTCAGTATTCTCGGCAATATTTTTCAAACTAACATCATCAGATACAGGACTTGCGCGTGTAAGGACCTTGAGGATCTCCAATCTCGCATCCTGGTTTGGTGGGGGAACGTATATGATACGGTCAATACGACCGGGTCTTAGTAACGCCTCGTCTATAGCACCCGGGCGATTTGTCGCTGCTACCAGGATCAAGTCTTTAACATTTTGAAGCTTTGAAAGTCTTTGTTTCCGTCCATCATTAGTATCCTCTCCACTGTCTTCTTTCAAGTCTAGTTTTGAATTTTCAGGATTCGACTCAAAGATATTTTCATTAGATTTTTCAGACATTTCTTTGACATTACCTGTGTCACATTTTCCTTCCCCATCTTGAGAAATCTTGTTTTCGGATGTTTGCTTACTGTTTCTGTCATGGTCCGAACCGTATATGTTTGCTGACACTCCAACACCGTCCATTTCATTTAGAAGGCTCGCCAACAACCTGGTTTGGGGGCCACTGCTGTCTTTCTCCGACCTTTTTCCAGCAAGGGAATCCAGCTCGTCAAGGAATAAAATCGAAGGGGCTGTTGCTCTAGCTTTCAGAAAAATCTAGGAAAAAGAGATGATTCTATTTAGTTATTAAGAAGTTTATAATAATAAAACTCTCCCTTGGAGCTTTTCAAAATCTAATTACAAGTCATTCTCGCGCTTTGTCAACACACGGTTGCCACGCGTAACGTCCATCACAGTTTTACTCCGCATATTTCTGGCTTGCATGGGTGGCCTGTGTACCAGCTTATTCTACCAAATACCAAAGGATACCAAAGTATTATATACCTCTCTTATCATCCTCTCAGCATCTCCAACATATGGTGAATATAGCTGCGCACAGCTAAGAGATAGAAAGGTACAGTGGCATGAAGATGCAACTGCTCGCACTAATGTGGTCTTGCAGCACCCTGGGGGACCGTACAACATCACTCCACGTGGACGCTGAAGACCTAATCTTGAAAAGGCTTCGGGATACTTGAGTGGCCATTCAATTGCCTGCCACAGAAATTTAACAATTATAAAACTTATATGTTAAGTGTATGCTACATCGAGTGTATAAGCAGATTAAAAAATCTGCCTCAGTTGGGTTCTCGCGGGACTCGAACCACTGACCTCTTGTTTTCTAGACCATTATAAAACCATTGAGATCTGGTTTGATTATTTCAATTTGCATATTACAATCCTTCAACCTTCATTTTCACTTCCCTTCATCTTATCCCCAAGTGTCCGAATTTCTTGCACTAAAAGCAAGAATTATTTTTTAAAGTCAATTTTCTTCCTTCCATTTCATTTTCAGTTCTTTCCTTCCTATTATTCCCTAAAGAGTTTCATTTGAAATCACATTACACTTACTTGCATAAGAGCTTGTTTCACTTGGTGCAGTCCACCAATACTCTGCCAGCTGATTGGATGAAGACTAACAAGACCTTCCATCCCTCTGTGTGTAGAGGGAACAATGTGGCACATTGCTAGCTGGAAGTCTGTCATCTTAACTGAACTAGCTGGTATTAAAAAGTGGTTTGATAAGTACTGTAGAATGGCTGTAAAGTCTTTGAATCAGTATTATTCAAGCCTTACAGAGGGAAAAAATAATCAACTACTTTCTTCTGGTATGTATTTCGTCTTATTTGATTAGCATCAAATTTTGCAGGAAGACTTCATTTCCATAAGAAGTTAAAATTGGCAAACTATGGTACATATACRAAGGCCTTTAAAAGTAGAGAATACGAGATCAAAAGAGATGAGCTAGCTTGAACATATTCTGAACTACCTTTAGCAAACCCTTTTTGCAAGGATAGACTTGGACCTCCTTCCTCCTGAAATGTCCTTTTCATGGCAGCAATAGCAGCTTCCCTGCACAAAGAGGCAAGATCTGCTCCAACATAACCCACAGTTATCTCTGCAAGATGTGCAAGGTTGACATCTTCATCTAGTTGGAGATTTCTTGTATGGACTTGAAGAATCGCTAGTCTGTTTAGTGGACTGGGAACACCAATGACAACCTAGTAAGATGAGAAACATTAAAAGAATGTTGAGAAGAACTCAGTGCAGATAAACAACAAAAATACTCTCGCTAACTTTATTGGAGCTTCATTTTTGCTTACCATACCAACTCTTTCCTTCCTTTTATTTTTCCTGAATGAGTGGATGCATGAATGAGTGGGTGGACAGATGGATTGCTAGATGCAGAAATGAACAAATGTTCATGCATCCACTAATTCAGTTATCTATTTAGTCTAGTAATCTGTCATTCAGTCCTCACTCATCCATCTGCCCACATGACCATCCATCTATCTATCCATCAATCAAACCACCCATCAATTTGTACATCCATCTACCCACATATCCATCTATTCACTTATTTATCCATTAACTCACCTTCCCACCAATCCATCTATTCATCTTTTCATCCATCCATCCATCTATCTACTTACCTAATCACCTATCCACCTATTTACCTATTCACCCATTCATCCTTCCATCCACCTACCCATGCAATCTCATCTGTCTATTCACACATTCATCTATCCATCTGCCAATATATTTACTCACTCATTCAACTATCCCTAAACCTACCCCCACCTACCCATCCACTCATCAAATCTATCTGTTTCTTGGAAATATAGCACATACTTCTCTATCAAACCTTCCTGGTCTTCTTAAGGCAGAGTCTATAGCATTTGGTCTGTTTGTTGCCCCAATGACCACAAGTCTTCCTCTATTATTATCCACACCATCCATGAGGGTCAGCAATTGAGCTACAATTCTGTTTTCTTCTTCACTACCGCTGGTTCCTCTTTTAGGGCACAGTGCATCTATCTCATCAATAAAGAGTACACAAGGTCCTGATTTTGATGCCACTCTGTAAAGAGTAATAGACATATTAGCTTTGTCATTGAAATGCCAAAATTCAGCCTCAATTTTTTTTACAAACAAGAAATATAAGAGAAGCTCAAGCTAGAAAACTCACTAACTTTACACTCTATACTCAAGTTAAGGAGATACAGCTATTCTAAAAAGGTTGGTGAAGGTTTTGCTGCATGTTGGAATTCAAGCTTGAAATATTATGTGTCACGTGAATGCAATAATTGAAAGGTCACAGTGATATGATTTTTTTCTAAACTTTGTCTGCACATTTTTCTGGGATGCAACATGCAGTAATGCAGCATGCCACAAAGTCGTTACCAACCTTTTTTGAACTAGCTGTATCTAATGATAGTACCTGGCTTTTTCGAAAACCTTTCTAAGATTCTCTTCACTTTCTCCCGAGTGTGGTCCAAAGACATCAGTTCCATTAACAGTTATTAACTGTGCATTACAATCATCTGTTACAGTCCTTACCAAGAGTGTCTTACCAACACCTGGTGCGCCTTGTAACAAGATCCCTTTAGGGCACTCTAAGTCCAGGTGTGCAAAGGACTCTGGGTATTCAAATGGATACTTTAACATTTCTTTCAGAATTTTTGAAGCTTCATCCATTCCTGCCATAGTAAATCTGTTGCCTTCACCAAATAAGCTCCCCATTCTTACTGACTGCACGTGAATTGTAGTGTTTGCTGAGACAGTTACACAACCTGCATCACTAATTATAGGCATAGTTTCCTCTACTGTGACACTATATATTTCCCTGTATATACTACTTTCATTGTTTCTTAATTCTCTAGGTTTTATAACACATCCTTTGACGATAGTCAGTCCTTGTAGTAGCATCTTAACCTTTCGTTCACGTCGTTTGTCCAGAATTGTTTTGGAAAAATAACTACAATCATCTCCGATGTCTTTTAGAATCAAAGATACTTTAACAGCAGCAGCTTCTATAGGTTCTAGCTTTGAAATATCTGTCATAGCAATTGAGGTTTGATTGAGTGTCTTTTTAGCAGCTCGTTGTTCAGTTTTATCAAAGTATAAAGAAACCATACTATCAAACTGAATAATCCTTGCACGTCCCTCACGAGGCCACACGGAGCAGTAGACGTAAAACTTATCAGTTCTGATTCTTACTGACGAACCTATAATAACACCAAGATCTGACATGGTCGCCATATCCATCCTACATCGAGCTTTGTTATAATCTTTAGCTTCACATGGAAAACATTGAAGAATTTCCGTTTTTGTTGATTCGTCCGCCATCTTGAATAAAGAATACACGTGCTGAAGAATACGGGAGGGGGGGGGGGGTGAGGGCTTCCAGTAAATTCTTGACGGCAAGTATCATTGGTGAAAACTTAAGAAATTAATTTTGCATATTTTGTAAAATGATAAAGAAGAACAAAAGTTATATTTCTCACTTATTATAGTATGATATTTTTATGGCACGATTTTTTAAATTTCAAATTCGAAAACAATGACACTTCCCACTCTCCCCTCCCTATATAGTTTAATATAGCCTCAGCCAGTCAACACTGCAGGCTCATAATATTCAACATGGCGGCCTTACTCAACAACTTGTGCAAGTCTTCATTTAGAACATCTCTAATTTCCCCAACTTTTTACCGACAGATATCTTTGACTATAACACACAGCTGTTCTTCAAAACCAAGTAAGTATCTAGAACCTTTTGTTTGATGCTTGTTGTTGTCTTGGCTCTAAAGAAATGAAATTTAGATTCGGTGTTATTGTACACTGACGTTGCATGATCATGATCTCGGGGTTTGATTCATAAAACCTTAAGTATATTTCATCAATTTAATCAAATAAGATGTTCAACACCAGTGATTTGCCGTGTGTAGAGTTTTTGTGAGCAGAATGAAATTGGTGACAATCTTTGAACGAAATATCACAGTGCACAATGATTGCTCATCTAATGAAAATGCTCAGACATAGAACTGTCATGGCATGGCCATGAGAATTTCACAGTCATAAGAAAGTTGCTTCATTCAATGTTAAGCCAGCTTATATAAACTACCTTATTAAAACGATATATTTTACAGACCTATATGCTGGGGAGGGAGAGGGAGAGGGAGAGGGAGAGGGAGAGGGGGGTTTAGGGGTATGCAGGGTGCAAATGGCCCTCCTCCCCCTCGCCAGATGTTTTTGTTTATTTAAAATATTTGTATTTTATTAAACTTAGGGTGCGTTTACATGATACCAGAAGGGAGAATGAAAGGAATGACGCATGCGTATCACACATTTCAAGCTTGAACTCGTTCTGTGAATTTTTCTCATGTAAACACAGTATGACATGCTTCATTCTCGTTCCGGAACAAACTCATGCAGTATCATGTAAACACCCCCTTATAATTATGCTAGTCCAGGGATGGTTGACTGTTGGGGGAACTCAAATCCCAGGATTGATAAAAAGTGCAGGTCTCTTGTGCCACGGCAAACCACTCTAAAACTCTGGCCTCATCTCAGAAGCTTGAGGGGGCAGGGGTACTCCCTGTTTTTGTTTGAAATGTACCTTTCTGTTCCAAAATAGCTAGCCACTTGTTTTGTTATGCTTGGAGTAAATTGCATTTTTTTTTTTTTTAATTCAGAAGAACAAGGGGAAGAAACTCATAAACTGGGGCAAGAGCGATGCTTTGGAATTAACTATCTAAAAGATGGAACAGATCCTCCATTATTGCCAGATAATGAATATCCAGATTGGTTATGGAAATTAACTGAGCCTACTTATACTGAGGAATCCCCAGAACAGACTGCAGCATACTGGAAAAACATTAACAAGAAAAGAAGAAGACAGGAAAATGAAATTAAGAAACAAAAGAAAATCTAAGTTATTCATTTTCTTAAATATTGAAGTTTAATTAAAATTGTTTTTGTTCCTTATWAAAAAAATCAGGAATTAAAGATTTTTTAAAAGTATGTTGCTATATGTGTAGCTGCATAAAGTATGATAATATTAAAAATCCTATAGAGGCTTTTCACCATCACGTGATGGCAGCCATGACAGGGGGCAGGAACAATTGATTCTGGTCTAATCTGATTTACGTTAGAAAGGATTTAGTTACCCAGGGGGGAAAAGTTAAGCCCCCTGTCATTACTGCTATCACGTGATGGTGCAAAGCCCCTATCAAAGGAATAATGTATTATTTCAGCAAATTCAGTAATTATGCCGTTAGGGGGTGTCCGGTGCACTGAAGGACACCCCCTGGAACTGCCCCTGGTATGTACATCAATCTTGGGATAAAACCGATATCAATCATATCGACGCTTAAAATCAAAAACTTTTAATACAAGACGTTAAAGTGCTACTACGACGAAAATCACTCAAACTTGGACTCAGCTGAAACTTCCTAAAAATACTCTTTAAAGGTCCAATAATCACTGTATGAAGTGTTTTCTCGATATTCAGGACGAAAGTATGATACTTTTACGATTATTTTTTGGAGTCTGTGACGTCATACTCTCAACATCGAACATCGCTCCATACATTTCTTTGTA